GCACTTCTGATGATATAATTAACGCTCATTAGTGAAACATAAAACGTAAAGTTAAGCAGGCATTCATTGAAATGGTAACGTGAGAGAACTTCCAAGGTCCGTGCTGTTTCATAATCATCAGCCTCATGGGATGCTCATGTCTTCACAAATTCTTCTGCCACTTTGTTTGGCCATTGTTCATTAATAGTAAATTAGAATCACAACAAAATACCGAAACATAAATTAATATTATGATTTCAAGGCGACTGAATGTAAAACCTGACGATGAAACAGGTGTTTGGCCAAAGATACGGACACATAATAAGCATTATTTAAGAATAATTTGATTTCAATATATTATACCCAATTGGTAACGGTTCATCTAATCCCCAAAAAGGCCTCTCCTAAGCGATAACCTGCCGTGCCGCCGAAATACTTGTAACATTACGAAAAAATTTATTAGTTAGACTTGAGTCACTCAACTGACTATCACCAACTGTTTTAAAATTATCTCCAATCTAGTCTTTCACTGCCTAGGAACTGATTCATAGATGAAATTAAGTATTTCAAGGATCAATCTGTTTCTAAGTAACAGCACGTTGTAACTAACGTGACTGCACCGTGCCAATGACAACATTTCTCCCTAAAGTTCGTTTGTAACTTAACTTTGATTTGTTTGATGATTAATTAGCCACAATAATTATGACCTGTCTGCACCGAACTGGCCTGTATTTCAAGATGTTTAATTTTATTACCGTACTACTATCATGAAATGTTAAGTAGCAGAAAAGTTAATCATAAATTAGCACTGAAACTTGTGAATTGGTCAAAAGACCTCCTAACAAGCAGTGAAATGAGCGATCGGCAACACGTCGGCTCGCTCCGGTACGTGTAGGTAATAAAAGACGACAATTTTTCCAGTTTCGCAAGAGCCACCGTCGGGAGCGACCGGTTCTGTCACAGGTGCCGCCAGTCAATGGGCTATTTTGTGACACAGTCTGCGACCACGTACTTAAGTCGATAATATCAAATCTGAAAGTAAACTCGCCGGAGATTAATAGCGTTTGCCGATCGTTTATCTGAAAAATGTGAATGCCACGCACTACGCTATTAAAAGCTTCTTTGTCTTGTTGTACTACTGAATAAACAACTATCGATGAGTAGGCACTAACATTTTAGCTGTAAACGATTTCTTTTAATGCAAGTCTATTCTCAGGCGCCCATAATAAGAGAACCATTCACAAATTCAACAAAGCTACCCAAAAACATGACCAGACTACAATAAAACAAAAAAAAACCGATCACGAAAATCGAGTTGAGCTTACGCAGTGCGGCGCGCGGCGGGCGTACCTGCGCCGGCGCAGGCGCGCCCCGCCCCCCTCGCGCCCGCGTGCCCCCGCCTGCGCGGCGCGACACGGCGCCGGCGCCAGTCAGCCGACAAGCAATTATGGCTAAATAAATATCGGCCATGCCGCCGCCTCCGACGCGTCGCTAACATCAACAGATGGATTCTCATACTGCTATCTAGACGACATCATTAAATTTTGGACCCCACTTGTAATGGCCCGGTGAAATGGCGTGTGGGCACCAAATTACTTGTAAATGGTAGTTAGAATTCTTCGTTAATGTTTGTCCGTCGTGGATGTGGGTTTAATTGCCGGATGTGGGTGACTGATTTCCGTAATGGGTATGAGATGACAGGCCGGTGGATAGTCACGGCGAACGTGCCAAAGCGATCGCGAGTTCGTGGCAATCTTTGATCCTGTGAGTCGGCGGCGTCGCGTCGACGCCTGCGCTCGATAAGATAAGAGCCCCTCTCCTCCCACCAGCAGGCGTTCGAAAACTGCCGGCTCGCATAAAAACATTCACAAATAGAGGCCCGCGCGGCTTGATTGCTAGTGATTGGCGACCACGCGCCCCAAACTCGCTGTACGATTGATCTGCGTGAATAAATTGAATGCTTGCTATCTAGACTGGACAAGGATTTCCTGTTCATCTTGTTCGTCTAAAAAAAGAACGTCTCGACGGACAAAACAAAAAAGTGATGAATCAAATCGAGCAGGTGTACAACAATAAACATATCGATGATTAAATTTACGATGAGCCGTAATACGATCTGCGAGATCGTAAAACTGAAATAATTACCCGTATTTACTGAGGTTTATTGAAGATATTCATTGCAACGAAAGTGACTAGAGAATGTTAATCAAATGTTTACGTAGACTGAAAATGTTAATTAGCAGTAGAATGAAATTAGAACCAGACCAAAACACAAGCAAGCGGGAACTGTTGATTGTTGCGTCGGTTGGCAATGTGCACACAAATCAAATGTGCGAGGAATAATGGCGACTATATTTAGTGAGCACGCTGTGGGAACAAGACGGGAAAGTGAACAAAAACAGTGGCGTCGCGAACTCGTCGCGACAGACCACGGAAAAAAGTTCACCTGCATTGGTAGCGTCTGCGGTGACGACCTAATGGAGCCAGGTGGCACGATGGCGGCTCCAACCTACAGCGCACCATCTTGTAATTACGCCGACAAAAGAAATGAAAACAAACGAAGTTGAAATGTGGAATGTTACTGCAACTGATCGGTTTCTAAACAACAACATTTCACGGATGTTATCCAAATCGGAAACAATAGCGATTACTTTGTTTTTGTTTAGATTTCAAAGTATTTTATTTAAAGTCTTTGGAATGACAAAAGCGCAGACATTTCAAATTCTTTGGAGTTTTTTGGATACTTTATTCCTTCCATGGTTAATTATGGTTCCAAAATCAAAGATACTGGTGTTACGGAATACTTTAGCAAATTACATAACCTGGAATGCCTATGAGAAACTATTTGGCCAATTTGATGTCCATTTATGGCGATCCTGTAGCGAAAGTGAACGGCAAAAGGATTAGACATTTCGATATCACGTTGGTCATGTTTTCGATGTAGCTTCGAAAAACACACTTAGGAGTTACCAATGAAGTAGTTCTGAAATAACCAAAATTGTATCTGGCACTGATCGTAGTTTTGGTTAGCTATCAAATTATTGTTTCTGTAAAGAGATCAGAATGTCTAAATAACAGCAATTTCGTCAATCTACAAAAGTCTAGAGGAGTGTTAGAAATGGAGGAACATGCAATGTATGCCAAGATTGGTTCCAATCAAATACGTCTCCCGTCCAAAGTTGTGGTTCTAAGCTCCCAAGTACTAACCACAGCTCTGTCCTCATAAGGAAACATAAATATTCATATTTTTACTTGGCTTTCTTCTTAATTAATATGCTAACAGGCATTGTCAGTACACCCACGAACAGTGAGAAGTATAGGTAAAGTGGGCGTCGATCTTAAGTAGGCGACGCGACTTGCGCGTGAGTCGATGTCATGGTCACTCATTAGTTTGGAAACATGAGTGAATCCCTGTTACTTCACTTGCCCGTTATGGTGTATTTTTATTTGGATGTTATTGACAAAAATGATCGGTTGCAAATTTGGAATGGAAATATTTGGAGAGTTTTGGACGTTTGGAGACTTTGGTCCTAAGTAGAATGACTGTGACAACAAACTAATTAATAGAAAATATCTGATGATTTGGTCAGTACGTCATAATAATAGAAATCTACACATTTATGCATTTAAAGCAGCAAGTAAAAGATAGGTATTTTAAAACTACAAAGTGATAATACAAAACAATATTCTAGAAACAAGAAAAATAAGACCACGCCAATTGGACCAAAATGAGTAAAAAATCGCAAATAATTATAATCGATAAGAGAAGCACAAGAAACGAGTTTTAGTCACATCTAAATTAAGATGCGATTAGGTAAAAGAAAATTAACATAAATTATAAGTAAAGTGACATCAGAGAAGTGATTGTCAGTCTCGACGTGGAAACGAGGCGAAAACATGATCGCGACCAAATATCTGCGATGATATCATGGAAGGGTCATTTGTACGACCTCAGGAAGCGCCGGGCGGCGGAATGTAGCTATTTACCTAACAAAGGCGGTAGCGCCATTGCCTGACGAATTAAAAAGTTAACGGGCTGCGCGCGCCGAGCGTCGCGGCACGCCGGCGCCGGCGACTCGACCTTGTCTAGTTATCGCGAACGGGTGACCCTCGCCACGGCAGATTAGGCGAGCTGCTTTTTACACACCCCGACTACGCAACTCACGCCGGAGGGAATCTTAATCACGAACAAAAATACGATCAGAACACTTTTACTTTCCGACTCTACCTACATCGAAAGTGCAAACACGTTCAGACAATCGATCAAAATACCAATCCCAATAACGAAGTCATTAATCGTTAATGGAACAGTAACGTCTGTTAAACAATTTAACGCCGAAGGAAAGTTGACCTTTGAAATTTCATACAACAAATCCAAGAAACTACTGCTGATGTCACAGCTATAAATAGATCGCCGAAGTCTAATGTTTACACTAACAATCTAATGTAGGGATGGTGTTATATATCGTACTTGTGTCAAATGCCGGTGGAGTATGTGACCGGAGCAGCCTGACGTCACTGGCAACGTAACTATAGATACAGAAACAAACAGTAGCGATAATACACTGATAACGAATCGCACTGATAAATAGGTGCAACCCGCGTGAACTCTCTACGTAACTATAAATTGTATAGTTTCTCAAAAAACCTTAACTCCACGATCCAGAGATAAGTTCCATGAATACTGTAACACATTCCAGAACACTTGACAAACAAGTAACGACACTTCAAGCAGAATTAATGAACACTATCTAGGTTATGTTAGGTTAGAAAAGGTTAGGTCGAATTAGAAACGTTTCGACGGCCGAAAACTTCCAACAAACTCGTCTCCAGCGACGTTCTTGATTCAAATCACAATCGGCGGCAACCATTCATTCGTTTGATCTTCCATTCACACAAACTGCTCGAGCGGACACATTCAAAACACGGCATAGGAACACTGAGCCCAAGATTCGTACGACATCGATGTTTACTTGATGCACTTGTTGCGCGGGTCAACGTCCTGATCACGTCACACATACCGGGCTTGCAGAGACGGCTCCAGTGGTACGGGTTGCAGCACTGCTGGTCAGCGCACAGGGGAAGGCGGCGAAGTTCGCTGGAGTCTCTTAGGTCGGGGAACCTGGAGAGGCGGGTGACTGCAAGTCGGAGTTGTGAGGCGGCGTGACCGGCCGGCACGCACTCCCCGCCGACGGCGCCCGCGTCCAACGCCCTCGCGAGCCGCCGCAGCTGGTCGTCGGACAAGGAAGGCGCGCCGGCCGCCTCCAGCCGCCGCCGCAGCGCGCGTCTCCGGAACATCACATGCCGACGACGGGGTCACAAGTCGCGCGGCCGTTCGCGCCACGCGACACACTCACGCTGGCGGCACGTCATCGCTCGCCGCGTGCGGGCACTCGACTGACGGACACTACGTTCCGCCGGCTAGTGCAGTGACGCGGCCTGGTGTGCAACACCTGAATACAATTTACCCTGATTCTAATACCCCATTTATTATTTTCTTAATACTTTAATAAAAGAGATGTGTCCTCAACAAGGCAATTTTGACAAAATAAAATCATGAACATAATTTGGCATTAAAATAGAAACAAATAACTTGAGTACTCTATTGCATACTCCAGGAATAATTTGAAATATTTTGTTTGTTATACTTTTAATAAACGTGAACTACCACAATCAATACTATCTCGTGATATAATTCTCATTCTATTTTTATCTAATCGCAATAATCAGGCAAAAATATAATCTTGTGAACAACGTGACTTTATTAAAAGGTCTAAAGTATCATTCACATAATAAAAACTTTGAAATTTGTGAGAAAATACTACAAATCAAATAAATTGTGTGCATTTGAAATAAAATTTATCTCAGTAAAATCACCGACAACTTTCATAACAAAACTCCCCAATTTTTTTTTCAACCAATTAAATCTCCCACAAATCAGGGAGCCGGTTGCTAACGTCTATCAGGTGCGGGTGTGCGGGGCGCGGGGGCGGGGCCGTGCGGCTGGCGCCACCGGCGGCGTCAGGTGCGCGCGCGTGTGTGCGTGCGGCGCCACCGAACACAGACGAGCGCCTAGCCAACCGTGTAGAAGCGACGCGGAATGTGAGGTTAATAGAAAACGGGATTAACCATCTGTGAGGCAGTGAAAGAACAGTACGCACATGTGAATTCCACACAACAATGTAGCGAATAGTAATAGCCGAGTAATCAATTCTAAACAATACTGACATTTTAGAATTTAGACAAGCATTTAATAAAGATAACCTCAAGAAGTGAACATCATGAGTCAGTTAGGAAGGTTCCACAGACCTTCAAAAATGTGTAAAGAAAGATTTTCAACCTATCAATAAATTAACACACGATTTATAGCGCGTTATCAACAAATAATGATTATTTTAGAATAGGAGTACCGCAAGGGTCTTATATTGGACCTTCACTAATTTTTAAAAGTAATACAAAAAACGAGTAGAATAAATAAAAGACTCTATCCGCATGATTTGCTTAATCTATGACCGTTCATGGTTCGGAATGCGCAGAGCTAAAAGACACATCAACAAAATAAACGTACAAGATAACTAGCAGCGTGCCGCGGCGCCGCTCACCTTCATGCTGAAGCAACTGGGAGATAGGCAGACATCTAACAGTGATGGATTAACCATGCAGCAAAAGGGCGCTGAGTAGTAAGGAACTTCTAACAAGCCCCACTTCCCACTTAGCGTATATAAGATTATTGGCAACTCGATAGAATAATCTTAATTTGCCTCTAAGATCTAATGATCAAACGTTTAAATAATTTCCTAAAATGTCATCTTCACCTGCAACTTGTAAACTCGATAAAACCAATGATCGACGCATGTATGCAAATCAAAAGATATACTTTGTTCAGGTTTCCCAGCCCACCTGCCTTTTAGATTAGTTACAAGTAACAGATGTAATTCACATTAGCAGCTGCAGAAGAGATAAATGTTAATAAATACCGAATCGTAGAGCACATGCGTCACTTTTTAGACAAACATTTGGACTTAAAGTTTTGGAGTTGTTTTAGGAAGTAACTGTAAGAATTTCCAACTAGAAAATTGATACTTAGAATAAGTATTTATTTGTATATCAATGGCATGTGCTGATGCCTTGTACCTACAAGTTGGCCAGGGATTTTAAGTGCGTTACACGTCAATTTCAACATTATAAACAACATTTTTTCCCAAGGCAGAAGTTTTTCTCTTCATAAGAATTTCCGTGAAAAAATACCAATGTTAAAAGTTTTACTCAAAATACTTCAGCCAGAGATAGTTTTACTACTTTGTATTGTATATTTTCAGAATGCTATCTACACGTGGAGTTTCTCACCTTGCCTTGAAAGACTCGATGACAGATAGCATTCATTCATTCATACTTCAAAGTGCTCAAAAAAGAAGTCCAAGGAAAACATTTCTAAGTGAATGGCTTCGAAAGTTAAAATCACATCTGAGCAAGTTATGTGAACAGTTTCTGGTAGATGGCGCTAACTGTCTACGTGTTGGAAAATTATAATTGGGAAAAGTTCAAAGTCAAGAAAATCAATCAACGATATTAATTGTCCATAGTTTTAAAAGGAGTGGATAGAAAATAGAATCTTCTATCTCTAGTCCTACAACTTGAACATTGATACCATATCCATTCACGACGTATAAACATAACTATCAGACTAATCTTCTAAAAAGTACTTTAAGTAAAACGTCTTGTCTGTCATTATGTTTGAGCAAAAATATCTTTACGACAGCAATGAAACTTACATAATCGTATCTTACTTAGTAAATATTGTGATGATCGCATGATACCTACGTAAAAAACTTGTCATCCACTTTTTATGACTCGACATGCTTGAATGGAATCTATTTGTTTGTTTTTTCTCTTTTCTTTTGCGATCATATTATCATTCGTTCTGCTTTTTGTTCTACTTCGCTAGGAACATTGCATTCTTCACAATCATCAGTACTTTTGTTTTCATCTACTTTAATAAATTGAATGGAATCATTAATTTTATCGTTAGCATTGATATTGAAGCAATTAGTAATTGTTGACCTAATTAGTTCAGGAGTTGAGGTGACAACTGACAACTTGTTACGGTTGGAGCTGTTTTTATGAATGAACCGACAGATATGACGTGTTTTTAAGTAAACTGTCTTCGCTCTGAGACTTCGTTAACGTTCTGAACTGTATCATCGACATCAAATATTTGATTATCAAACTTTCTAGGTTCTATCCGATATTACTCTCGTCTAGAGTTGACTGTTTAGACTTTAGAGAAACTAGAAAACACAGAGAACATATAAAAAAAAGGATCCCGAGACCAAGACTCCAACAAGATGATCGAATGAAATCAAGAATATTAAAGGGCTCTGAGGCATATCAAAGACAGATACTCCTGAAAGGCTATTTCATACAACTTGGAGGAGTAGCAACGTATAGAAAAATTAAGAAAATACTAAATGGAGTATTAAATTATGCCAGATAAATTAAATTTCAGTAGGTACAATTAAATAGGTATAAGCCTACCTACCGAAAAAATTCAGTGTAACTTTGATTTAGACTGCCCCATCGGAGATCAAGAGCTTTAAAAACTCTATTTTTGCAACAATAGGCACCATCAACAATTTTGATTCAACAAATTATAGTTTAGAGAAAAACATCTTTAAAAAAAATCTCTCAATAATACGGATACTCGTATTTATTTAAATGTCAACATGTTATTGCGTATCACGGAACTGGTGTGGCGTTTAAGCTGTTATTGTTCCAAGCACGAAACCTGACGTCACAGTATTGACTGCCGACGGACTGGCGGACAAGATGACCGATTGTAAGCAGCTCTGATTGGACATTGCGTGCTAAGGGGGTAAACATTGAATACTATTTAATTGATGTCCGAACGTGTTTGACTTGAATTCTAATTTTGTTTGGAGAAACCCTGGGTTTTGGTTAGGCTCTTTAAATGTGTAAATATCTAGGTTTTTCGTCTAGTTTATCGTTTGAATTTAGGCATCACTTTCTGTATTGTCTTGGTTTATTGACATTACTACTTCTAACTTTCTAAGTTTCATAAAGTGGCTAATTTAAAGATCTATTTTATTTACATATTTCTGTGTAGTAGAAAGCTCGTCCCCTGTCACATGGTCCTCTACTGGGGTACCTTTATTAATCTAGTGCTTTTGCCCTTTTTTTGGACTGTGCTTATTTTTATTTTTTTTTATATGGAATAGAAGGCAAACGAGCAGTGGAATCACCTGATGGTAAGCGATCAGCGCCGCCCATGGACAACCTCAACACCAGAGGAGTCAAACGTGCGTCGCTGGACTTTTAAAACGAAATACGCTCTTTTCTTGAGGGTATGAACATCGTTTCGGTTCGGAAATACCGCCAACGACAGGTAAGTACTTTATAAATACTTCATAGCTTGATGGTTGGCCACTATCTCGCCTGGTGGTAAGCGCTTATTGCGAGTGTTAACGTAATTTTTTTATACTAGGTAAGTATAAAAATTTACTATTTACGCATCTGGAGTAAAAATATCTACCCTTTTATAATTTCCTATAGTGAAAAAATGCTCTATATTAGGTTTTTAAGTGAGTAAAGTTTCGATACACGGGTAGTGCAAATTAAACTATTATTTTTTAACAACCTCAAATAAATCGCAATATTTTTCTAGTTTACAAAAACAGTTCATACACTTGTGTACCTAATACAGAAATACTGAAAACGCATACATAATGCATCTAGAGAAAACTAACGCCTCTTCAAAAATATAGAAACTCTAAAAGCTCTTAACTAATTCTAGAACCTACTTATATTCAATGCAAATAAAAATGTCTATTCTATGTAAAATGCAATTTGTGCAGACAAGTGCTGCATTGTCTTGTTTCACAACAACACATGAATTCATTTTAACAGTTTTCTTGGCGCCACCCGCGTATTAAAGTTAAATAAACATCATTACAAGTCAACATTACCTACATTTTAATAAACTTGTTTACATCTTATACCAAAAACAAGAATTTCCACAATTATGCCTGAGAATATTTTAATTTACCAATGGGAAGGCGCCAAAACTAACATAAAGGAAATATTAGCATAAGCTTAGAGATTTATATCAACATTGCATTTTAAATAGATGTCGGCGCCATCTTTTATTATACAAGCTGTAATAAAATTAATTTTAAAGCAAGCAACAAGGATAGGCAACGGATTAAAATAAAAAGCTGACAGAATCAACTGTTTTTATTTTGTCTGTCGTTTTTCGTAAGTAACTGCCAAAACAAAAAATA